TTTATTTGTTACAAATATTGAAATACAGGGAGATTGCTTGTAAACATACCTGACAAAGACACTGACCAGAAATATCGAAAAACACAAATGAATAATTCATACATTCATACACCCTCCATTAAAAAGCACATTTCATGATCCATAACAAAATATTAGTTACTTCAAACAGATTTTGAATCGTCCCTTTTAAGCAGCATCAAAACAAAATGTGCAATGAAACCAGCAGAAGCAGGATGAAACAATGCCTCAGACCCGGCATAATCAAACATCAGCCCTCACTCACATGATTTCATTTAGGCACCGACTGATTGCTCTAAATCTGTGAGACATTCCTTTAAAATCTCTATAAATAACATTTGAAAAATGCAAAAGATTTGGTACTACACTAATGAAAGAGAGAACCAGAACAGTGAATCTAACAGTGAATTCCTTCAAAGTTTAGACCAAAGTGCCCCCATGTCGATCTGTGAGGAAGTCTTCGTCATCGCTGTCCTCGTCATAGAAGCTCCAGTTGGTGTTTGAGGTGGAGTCCTCCTGGGAGGGATTAAACATTCAAATTAACTTTGAACCCATCTGGCAAGTGATTAACACTCTTTTTCATTAATCTAAAAGAAGTCTGTTAGTGAAAATGATTAGACAAACATTTGATTCTGTTTATTGGATTTTTTTAAGAGCAATGTGCAGTTTACACAAATCTACATATGTAATATAATAAAGTGGTATTAAAGAGCTTGAATTAAATGTTTGGCACAGAAATGGAGACAATTCATTGCTTGATTTTTTTTTTTTGTTCAGCTAATGGGAGTAAAAGTTGAATTTTGAATTTTGAAGAGTGGGACCATGCAAACCTGCTATGTATCTTGGAGAGGAGTGCAAACAGAAAACAGTTTTTATTACAATGCTGCCACCTTGTTGTTTGCTACTTTTCTCATTTCTTTTGGATTGTTTACAGCTAAAATTCATGAACCACAAGAATAGCTGAAGCTGTTTTTATAGGAGTGGTGGGCAATAACAGAGTGATAGCAGTAAGTGGAATTACAGGGAGATGTCAAATAAAAAAGCCAATACCTGTAAGGGTGTTTTTTCCTTGTCTTTCTGTTGTCTGAGCTCAGTGTTCAGAAAAGCTACATAGTGGATGAGCGTGGAGACTCTGGTTGAAGATAAGTAAAAAACAATTTGATTTTTTATTCTTTTTTGTTTTTTTTGAGTATGAGGATAAACCACCTGCGGACAAATGGTGTGAGGTGTTCACCTGTGGTAAAACATGCCCAAAAACTGGAGCAGGACCGACAAAGCGAATCCCAGAATGAACATGAAACCCGTGGGCTCGATTTGGAAGGTTTCTCCAGTCTCAGTCAGGTCGAAGTTGACCAGGTTTATCCTGATGGGTAAAACGTTGAGGACCTGGAAGATGAAGGCTGTCACCAGCCACAGGAGGTTTATGAAGAAGAAGGAAAAGCTGATCTGTGCAGAGGAAGAAAGGTCCAACATCAGGTTAACGGTGCAGTTCCCCTAGAGAGAGGAGTTGTGTTTCAGAGGCCGACGCCCACCCTGTTTCTGAGCTGGCGCAGCTCGTCGTGCATCTGTTTCTGTTTCTCCTTGTCATTTGGCAGTGGTAGAAGGTATTTCTCCTGAAAGTCTTTCCAGAAGTTTTCCTCCTCCTGCAGGACAAATGCGGTCAATTCAAACATATATCTGTTAGAAAGTCACAGAAGAAACAAACCCACCTGGAAGTTGATCTTTATGGCATTTACAGTACAAATAATACAGTTTCTAATTGACATTACTTGTATTTCTAAAACATGTCGGTTTTTAATAACCTTATAATGAAAACAGAAGCTTTAAACAGACATAAATGTAACTTTTTAATCTCCATTTTGAGGTGATTTTCTATTATTCTGCTCTTTTCATTCCACCCTTTGTTTTCTCTTCCCATCTTATGTTTTAATGTAAACAGCTGGTCCTTCACTTCTGATTTTAGAGAGACCGAATTGAATGAATTTAAGGTTAAGTTGCAAAACTGAAATGCACAGGGTTTATGTGAAGGATGTGATTCAAGTTTTGCTGTTTAAATTGATCAGACATGGACACTGCATGACCTTTAAGGCTGTTTTTCATCCAAAACTCAATTTTCTCAATTTTAACATACAGATACTCACCTCTGGGAGAAATTCCTCCTGCAGCTGCATGTATCTGGACAAACTCTGTAGTTCTGTTACCCAACCTGCAGAAAGGAGAGGAGCGGAAACAACAGCAGGTTTTCATGGAGCTTTTCATTACAGCTGGAAACGCGTCGGTGCACGGGTCTCTGTTTCAGCCAGCCGTCATGTTTCTGCTGGAGGAGAACATCTTTTCGGTGGCACTTACACTGAGCGGGTGAGTCGAAGAGTGGCTCCCCATGCCTGAACAGAGTATCAGAAAGGCTCTCAGTATCAACCTGAACTTTTGAATCAATTTACTTTGATCTGCGCTCACCCTTGCTCGTCTTGGGCGATGTCGTCCACGATGCTGTTTTGGGGCTGAGGCCCACCCTGTGTGGGCTCCGCGTTCACGCTCTCTCGTCCGTCTTCAGACGTCTGACTGGGTCGTCTACAACAGTTGCACCATGAGAGGAAACGCCGCAAGAAGCTTCTGGCTGCCGATGCAAAAGCACGAACGTGACGTTCAGCTCAGCCGGAGCTCAAACGGACAAACTGCTCTCGTGCCAAAACCAGAGGAGAAAGGGGAAAAAAAATGCGTGGGGCTTACTTTTCTGTTCGGGTGCCTGCGGGGGGGCGGCGGCAGCCCCGGCGGCGGGCTTCACCTCCCTGGTGCCCCATGAGACGCAGTTCATGTTGACCATGGAGTAGATGGTGAGCAGCAGGTAAGCGCTGGGGATGCAGAGGATGTAGAGGAAGCCGTAGAACACCAGGGAGACTTCCTGAGGATGCATCATCGCGGTGAATACGTAGATGATGGACATGGCGATGATAAAAACACTGCTGGGGGTCAGGATGTTTTCCTCCTTTGCCATTGAGCCTGGTGGGAAACAAATCCGGGCTTAGGGTTCGGGGGTTACTACAGATAGCTGCTGGAGCGGGACCTACCGATAATAGACGCAGTCACTAAAAGCATCAGCAAGGCATACAGGGCGCTCAGCACTGCTGCGATGGTGATCTGAGTGTCCGGCTTGAGCTTAAAGCAGAGACCCAGGTAGATGGTAGGAGGTATCACAGACAGGATCAGAGCCTCGGCAGAGGGGATTTTCAGCAGCAAGGACAGACTACCTGCAGGACACAGTGACACTGGGTGTCAAGCCGCCGCGCAGGAAACACGGGTTTGCATCAACAGACGCACAGATCGCACAAACCTGCAACCATGAGGCAGATGGTGGCCGGCGCCAGAACACCTGAGATGATGGCAAACAGCTGGTAGAGCATGAAGGGTTTGGAGATGGACGGGTTCCTCTTGGAAAGGACGGTCGAGGAGCCCAGCAGGTCCACTACGTTGGCCATGGTGGACGGCCCCCACCGTCTGCGCTAGAGGTGGAAAACAGGCATGCTTACGCTTAGAGTTCAGCCTTGACCTTTAATGAATTAACTTGTTCAAGTTGCTTCCAACTTTCACCTTGAAAAAAGTTCACAGTGCAGTGTTTAAGATACTGAAATGCTGATTTTGCCAGATGAATCACAACAGTTTGGAAATGATTGGACCTCAAATTTTTCCCTGATCACCCTCAAAAAGGCATACATGCCTACTGAAGTTAAGATTACTACTATGTGAAAAATCTGCACATCTGAGAGGATTTTCTGAGGATTTTTTACAGATGTCAGGCTTGTGGACTTATTGTTTTACTGGAGTATATCAAAACTGAAAAAACAAATGATTACGTCATGTACTGTGTTTGGGACTGGTTGAATAAGCCCATCCCGTGTCTAGAGTTATGATTGTACCCTGAAATGGTGCAAATAATCAGAATCTCAAGAACTTTAGTTTTCCAATGGTGCATAATAATGTGTGTGTGGATGCAACATTATCTGGGATTTTTCATTCAGGTTTAACATCTTTTTATTATATCAAACATCTTATTTGAAATAATGTCTGGGTCAGACTAAGAGAACTCATCACACAAACATTAGTGTACACCTATACACATTATGATTTGCCGCAGAGGGGTGAGAAAACGGCATTTTTATCTCCTGTACCTGGTTATACAGTTCTTTAAAGTCTTCCGGTGCATTGGTGTAGGCGTCGGATGCTGCATTGTACTCCACTCTCCACCCCTGCTTCAGCAGCAGAGTGCACAGCCAGCGGTCCTCCCCTGCAGAGACACAATAAGCCATTTTTGTGCCACATTTAGATGTGTGAAAAATAATCCTTTAAAACACACCCAACAGAGAATATCAGTTCGATACAAAACGATTCAAACTAGGAATACATAATAAACAGAAAGAAATAATACAGAGGCTTGAATTTTTAACCAAATCCAGAATCAGGGTGAGTTTATTCAGTTGGATATGACTTTTGTGGGTGATTTATTGAATAATCTCTGCAACCTTGGTCGTACTGGATGCAGTGGCTGGCCTTGATGGACTTGTTGGAATACGTCTTCATCACGTTGTCGTCCATCAGCGCCTCGGCTCTGAACAGACTGAAGCAGCCCGGGCTGCACAGCACGCAGCCGTACACGTGCTCGGCCGTCTTCTGCAGCCAGTGACTGACCGCATACTCAAATTTCTGGAACCAAACTATGGGCCCTGCAGCAGGAATAACAGGTATCAAGCTCAGCGCGGCGTCCTTTCCAGGACATAGTCTTTACATGTTTAACCAACCTGAGCCAGTGGGGTGAATCCTGCCGCAGGCGGCCCCGACACGGGTGTACATTTTCAGCCGGTCGATGAGCAGCATCACCGCGGCAGGCTGGAAGTCTGTGTCCCCGTCCAAAGCCAGGAGGTAGGTGTTGCGCTTCTCTTTCTGCAGAAAAACGTGACATTTGCTTTGTTTTTGCTTTTCACAGAGAAAAAAAAACTTGCTGTGTCCACAAATGTATACATTTTTCTTACCTGGATCTCTTCCCTCAGAGTCTCCTCATCCTCTCTCGCCTGCATCCGCCGGTAGTATTTGGTCATGAGTTTCCAGCCCAGAAGATAATAGAGGTACATCACCTGGACAACAATGTGAAAAAGAGGAAATGTGGAATTTTTGTGACGTGTCCAAATGTTCCTCGGGATCTTTGATCTCTTACCTGTGACCATCTCTTCTTGTGGCGAATGAGATCTTTGTCCTTGTAGTGAACTATCAAGTTGTTCCCATGAGGCATGGTGACGACCAGGCGACCTCCATACGGGGTCCTGATGAGACTCTGCTCAGGGATCTGCGACTGCGTTTGGAATACCTTTTTATCTATGTTCTCGAAGATGCTGGTGGCAGAGAAAAGGTGAATAGTGGCTTCGTTTCTCCTAATGTGCCAAAGGGGTCTGCCTAACAGAAACTCATCATGATCTCTTACCCGTAAACTTCTGTGATGATGAGCACGAGGGATTTCGCGTATTCGTTGAGGCGACGGCCCGGGCTCCCCTCAACGCTCTCAAATGCATCGTCGAAGTAGATGTGTGCCTCAAAGGTGAAGTCTTTGGTCTCCTCTGCCTTTGGTCTGTACTTGTCCAGCCTTCAGGAATCAGAGGAACGCAGTAAGGAAGTCAAAATATGAAAATATGATAACTGGATCCAAGATCCCTGTAATTTTCTACATTATATTGTGGATAATTACAGGAGTTAATTTCCCACCTGAAAATTGATATGATGATGTTCATCATCTCCTCGTTGGTCTCGTGCCACATGGTCGCACACAGATAGATCATGGCATCGTTGGCTATCTCCTTAAGCCTTTGAAAGATTTTTAAAAAGATAACGTGGTCATCCAACCCTGAGAAGAGGAGCCATCCCACACTAGCTGAATACTCACCGGTGACTCTTGTCTTTGGTCTGGATCTGGAATCGGGTGTTGAGGAGCAGGGACTGCTCGATAAAGGCGCCCTCGTACAGTCGCCTGACGAAGAGGTCCTGTGTCTTTTGAATGCGATAGACAGTGAGGTTACAAATGTAGAGGGTGGACAAAACCAGGCCTATCCACCAGGATGCAGCTGCGCCTGAGAGGAGAAGGAGAAGAAGAAAAATATCATACTTCGTCTTCCTGAGAAGACCTCAACGCATTTATATTCTGCCACAGCAAAAGCCATTAGCACTAGAAGAAAGATGATAGTTCTGGCATGTTTTGGGGAATCGTCATGCAGACAAACTGTACGTGCTCAAATTACACAGAATATCAAGCATTAGTTTACCTGTGAGCAGGCCAATGTCTGTGATGTCCGACATGTCCAGAAAGCACAGAGTTTGTGTAACATCATAAACCAGATGGGTGAACACGCTGTCTTTCAGGGTTTGGTTCCTTAACTCCACAACCTCGCCACAGTAGCCTGTGAAGCTGATGTTTTCTGTGGTGTTCAAGCTTGTTCTGAAGTCCTGGTGGTTAACGATGACAGGGGTGATGAGCAAAGCCATGACAGCCAGGGAGGCCAGGTACAGGGGCAGGACGAAGCACCGCCTCAAGGCGTGCATCTTGCAGGCCACCAATGCAAACCAATGGCACAGCACTGAGGAGATCAGCTGGACCCCGACGATGATGACTACGACCCTCGTCTCTCGGCTGGGGATGGATGTCACTACCTTCCAGTCCATTTTGGCCAGAGGGACGTAGGCTCCCAGCACACATGCAGTGACCAGAACCCTGAGAAGGCTACACAGGATGTGCAGTACATTTTGGCACTTCGTCATGTCTTTGAATAGGTTTTTCAGGAAGTTGGACCTGTTGTCACAAATGAGTTGGAAGTAATTCTCCCACCAGTTGAAAGACACCAGGATGGAGGCACCGACAGCCAAACCCACCCAAAGAGCCATCCCGACATCGGAGGGGTCTTTCCAGACGTACAAAAGGACAAACAAAGCATAACCGAGTACAATGAGGATGAGTGCAATGGCAGGAGGCAGCAGGAAGCAGTTTATTTTCCTGGCAGCACACTGGACGACCACTTGTAGGAACGAAGAGATGACGGCGACTCCGTTCAGGATCGCGGCGTTGGTCACAATGTCCAGGTGTGGCATGGCCACAATGGTGAGAACCGCCACGCCCAAAGACACCAAAAGCTCGATGAACAGAACCTGAACCGGAGGCCAAAGAACACAAACGATTGGCAAAGAAATGAAGAGTCAGATCTTAGCTTTTGACATCAGAAATGGTGGCGCCCGTCTCACCAGGGCGATAGTGGATTTTCTGGGCATTTTCGATGATTTGTAGCATGCTTTCCAGATGCTTTTGAGCAACAGAAGGACACTGGGTGCCACCAGAGAGCAGCCGATACAGAGCAGGGAGAGAGGCTTTTGTTCAGATGAGAGGGTCTTTGTGTCTTCATGGGAGAGGGTGACGAGGAGGAGGAAGGATGTCTGGAAAAGAGAGGACAGATTGAGAGTGATGCCGGTTTCGGTATTTGTATAGTTCACATTGAATTTAAACTAAATAACTTTGGACTGAGTGTAAATGTTTTTTTAATTGATATCTAATCATATCGAGCCTGTTTGGCGATTTTTTGCATGTGATTCCAAAGCATTAACATGGTTAAAGTTAAAAGAATGAATAAAAGGAGCTAACCTTGCTACATAGAGCCAATCCAAACACGAAGATGGCAACCGCAATTAAGGAGATAATCCGAAGGAGTTTGATCATTTTCCAGGGCGTCTGCGCATCTTCAATGACCGGGACCTCCCTGCAGGTATCCCATGGCCTCCTGAGAAAGGTCAGAAGGTCAGAGTGAAAGGCAGGAAAAACAGTATCCGAGAGCACATCACGCTCGGCTGGAGCTCAAACACAAAGCTTCTGACCCTGCAGGCAAAGAGGCCAATTATGGGATTAGAGCAACAAAAATAAAGATAAACAGTTACCACAATTTGTGACTGTTAAAGATAGCAATATTTTCATCACTTTTATAGACTTCTCAAAATGAATTCATAACATAACTCAAATTAATAAGAAATGTGTAACTAACTGCATTAGTCATAGTCTATATAAAAAAATTACATTTGAGAACGCAAATAAAGAATAAATGTATATAAAAATACAACCAAAATACATAGGAAAACACAAATTAATCTTTAAAAACAACTTTCTCAAGTATCATTACATTCCCACTTAGTCCAATCAAATGAATGGGTTTTGGCGATAGTTGGATATTAGTTTGTATAATTGAAATAGTTCAGATGAGTGTATTCTGTAAACGCCTTTACTCACTTCAGCTCCTCGTTCCTCTCTCTGTGCTCCTCCATGGTGTTAGTGGCTCCTCAATTTGGTTTCAAAATATATAGACTACACTCGCAGCCCTCATAAATTCCCTATAGTAGGTTCTGTTTTACCAGTTTAGCCAGTTTCTGATAGTTGACAAGAAGGAACGTCAGTACAGAATAATTACATGAATGACTAAAGAGTTCCTAAAGAGATAGATGGTCAAACTGATTTGTCTCATTTAAGAATAAAAGTAGAAGAGTTCACATGAGCACACAAAGTCAGATTTCTTATAATGAATGAAACATCAGTTTTACCAAAAAGTTTTCCAAGGTTTAATTTTTTGTTCAACCTGCTGTTGATGTTCGGGCTTCATATAAAATCGTTTTTGTTTGTTTGTTTTCTTACATCCTGAAACTGCCATTTAAATCAAACTGACTGAATTGAAGGTGAATCCAATTTATGCAAAAGGAAATTAAAATGGAACATTTTTGGCTGAGGACATAAAAAGATTGCAATATATAACATAATCGTATTAATATCACAATATTTGGCAGCATTGGAAGGTGAAAGATGGCCGTCGAGCTGTTTGGGGATTTTGGTCAGCGGACTCTGAATCTGAGTCTTTTCAAGAGGTGGGGTGAAGGGGGAGAGTGAGAGCGGGGCCAGAACACCAAGAGCAAACTTTAGAGAAAGAAAGATGACCATAGAGAAAACATGCAGGACAGGGAGAACAAACAGGGGCCAAAGTGATGGTGACAGCAAGCCGCGAGCAAACAAGGTGATAGGGACCCAAAAAACTGGTAAAACCAGGACACAAAAATCTAGAACTTGTGACGTTCGGCTCTATGAACTTTGTGACTCTTCACTGTAGGATATTTACTGCGTGGGCGTGTTTCTGTGTCAGAGAACAGCCAGCAATGCTTTTTGCAAGTGGGAAAATTTTGAAAGGAGTCTAAACTTTGATCATTAAACGTATACTATTCTTCCAAATAGACCAGACGGGAATCAGGGAAAGCACTGATAAAATCAAACTGTATTCAAAGACTGATTTATCTGTTTTTTGTGATATTACTGAGGGTTTTTTTTAAGGCACATTGTTTGTTAAGATTTAGATTTTCCACTAAACGCATTTCACTGAAATTTGTTTTCGGCAGCTCTGGGATAAGCCGTTAATAATAAGATGTTATTATTTTCAAAGGCCTCATTGTTCCTTTGTTCATCAAACTTATTTTGTCGGAATTTCTTTCTTTTTTTTTTGTTCATTTGGCCCTGCGGGGTTTGCTATGTTTCTTGTTCGTCTTCATTTGTCGTTTTGCTCATAGATGTTTTCGGTAGATCTATTGACCTATGGAAGGGTAATTTTATAACCACTCATAGGTCAAACTCTCGGGATGAATTGTTATAGCTGACACATCGGTTTCCACCCATCTTAATGAGAAATATCCCACTGAGTCACCATATTGTCAAAACATTTTGAAGGGTAGGTGCAGTTTTATCTTAATTGTGGATTAGAAACTTAAAAACAAACGTACAGCGATGTGCTTTTGTTCAGCTGCTTGATGGACTTAGGAATGACCCCCTGAGGACATAAGGCCTGCAGGATCAGCGACATGAGCCTGAGCGCCTTCCTTCCATTTTAGTCATGCCTTCTTATTCTTTTAGGATATTGTTTACAGCTCAATGTCACATGTACCTGCTCCCATTTTTCCTGTTACATTCATGATTTTACCTGCATTCTTTTTAATCACTTCTACTTTAAATCTCCCAAACCTTGATGGAATGTTTCATTTGCTGGAACTCAGAGACATCTTCGGCACACGGGAAACGCCTCCTCTCAGGTTCCGATAAGCAGCTCTCAGTCAAATGCGACCTCATAAATTTTAAACATTCCTTTTTGGATTGTAGCAAATAACAAGCGTGACAAGCACTGTGATCACCACATGAAGTCACATCCCATTTAATACCTAGATAGTATGTGGTGTACCACCGGGTTCAGGTTCAGGTTTTTTTCTTTTTTTATTTACTCGCAGTTATTCAGCGCCACAGAGTATCTTTAGATTGTTATGCAGAGGACACACAGATGTACCTCACCCCTCTGAGACCACTGCTGGAAGCAACCAAACAACTCCAACTCCAGAAGTCATGCTGTTCCCTCCCATCAAAAATACCTTTGGTGTCCTAGATACAAATGTCAAGTCCCCATCCTGAGGCAGTCTGAGGTACTCGGGCTGCATCAAAGACGAGGCCGATATCTGGAATGGCACGTTCTCCATCAGGGCCCCGCCACTTTGGAATGACCCCCCCGAGGAGATAAGGCCTTCAGAATCAGCGGCATGAGCCTGAGCACGTGCACTTCTCCTTTAATGCTAGTCATTTCTTTATTTGTGTAAAGAGTTGGCCGTGATTTAACGATTGAGCTGAGTATTGATGTGGCGCAGTCGTCCACAGACCACAGTGAGGTCCCCCGAGGCCGTCATATCTGGCATGCCTCTGAGCCCCCGGGTGTTCGGTGGGAGGGCCAGAGCGGGATGTCTGCAGGAATGTCCCATTACCTAAGCGTTGTTGGTGCCACTATATAACAGACGCAAGTTTTTATGAGCATGCCGTGTGTGCAGCTTAATTAGGAAAAATATGACCTAAATAAGCAGCTGTCATTCGCTGCTAGCTAACTGGTGGTACATTTAGTCCACCCTGTTCTGGTGCATTGTATGCAATTATAAAACCATACAGTTCAATATTTTTCATAAATAGCTGTATTTATGCATTTACTTCAATCAGAAATGATCCAATTTTTGCTTGTTCTATTCTTTATTTTACTGTTAACCTCATCCTGATGGGACTGTTTCCCTGTCAACCGTTTGCTTCAGCGACTCAGTTTTTGATAACTGTTGGCATATAAAGTTTCCTGGTTTTTCCTGGTCTGCAGAGTTTTGTGAACTGAAGGAGGCCCTTTTGTCCACCAAAGCCAGCTGAAGCAGAACATCTGATACTGGTGGTTGGGATGTGGCTTTTCTCTGACACGGCGGCCTCAGATGACACACTTCTAACCCATCTGGACAGCCCACATGCCGAACCCTTCCAAAGAACTCTCGGATGAGCTGGTGGTTTCCGATCTGGTAAAATTAAACCAGGAGCATTTTTTCGGTGTGCGTCGGCTTGTTGCTGCTTCAGGAATCGAGCCAAATGCTCCAAGATTCCTGTTAAGCAAATCAAACCATTTGCTTAATTAATTTCTCATCTTTAATGAAAAGTGTTTTTTAATAATATTCAGAGAAATGGTGATAAGTTAGAAAAAAGTGAACCTTTATTGGGGGTGTTCAGCACAGCTTCAAGTGTTCACTTGTCTTTATCTTAAGAAAAACATGATGACTGGGAAAAACAATGAATGAAGGAGGGAATGTCGAGCTGTACGCTAACAAAGACGACTTTAACCATTTCGAGTCGAGGCAACGGCATCTGCTTCTGTGTGGAATGTAAAAATAATGACATTCAGCGTCATCCAGACCGATAAACCAGCAAACAGTTGAACTAAAAGAAGGAGTGGCCTGCTCTTCTGGAGGCCTGGGCCCTCCTCTGGGCCGGCGGTTCGTCAGTTTTCAGCCACGCAAACGCAGGATGGCCTCTTGGTGTAAGCGGTGGGTGACTTTAAATAAACCCCCCTCCCTGGTGGAGCCTGGCTCTTCCTCTTTTCTGCTTCCTCGGCCTCCAAATGGAGGACGCTTCTCCCCGAAGGAAGCGGAAACACAAATCAAACACGTGCCCGCAGGTCTCTAAAAACGCAAGACAACAAAAATCATCTGCTTTCAAACAACTGGCCGAGCTTTTCCCCAAAAAACACAATTCAGTTAAAAGCAAAAAAAAAAAAAAAAAAACAGACACCGCTGCTGAAAAATAATCCACTGGAAGTGAAGCTAAAAGCGTCTCTTCTGTCCTGGGGGGCCCGTGGGGCCTCACTCGTACTCTGCGATCAGCACCATCATGCCCACCCCCAGCAGCAGGGCCAGGATCTCCAGCAGCGACTGGCCGAAACTGGAGCGGCCCGCCAGCAGCTCGGGCAGCACCGTCACCGTGGCGATGTAGACGAACCCCCCAGCCGTGAAGGGCAGGATCCAGGCGGTGGCCGCCGCCCCCACGCCTTCAGCCAGGAGGGAGCAGGCCGTCCCGGCCAGAGCCCCCACAGCTGTCAGCAGCTGCAGACACATGGCCTGAAAGAGCAGAGGACCAGTCAAAAACACACACACACACACACACACATTTCCGCCCCCTGAACCATTCAGCTGAAACACAGAAGCTCAGAGCTGCCTCCGGCTTTAGAAAACATTTATCTTTTGGTTGATATCAATAAAGCAAGTAGTTGGAGTCATATTTGCTGCATTTCTGCCACACGAGAATTTCTGGATGAAGAACATGATCAATGTTTCCTGATGAAAGTTGAAGCGTTTATTATAAGGAGGTGACTGAGCTTCAACTTGATAAATTTACTGTTCCAAGTATTATCCTGTTACTTGGGAGTCGTCTGTTTTAGCTCTGAGCTTCTGTAGTTTTCAGAGGACAAAAATGTTTAAATTTCGTCAGTGGCATCTACTCGATCGGGGCTGTTCACGCCAGCTGCGCTCCATTCAGAAAAAGCTCCAGCTTTCTACAGCCAGGGAGCAGGCCAGAGAAATGGGACGCAGCCCTCGTTAGAGAGCCTGAGACCGGGACCAGTTTTCACCGAATCATTCAACCTGATTTCATTTAGCTTCCTAATCATTCTGCAGCTGAGGCCGTGTAAAAAAAAAAGCCAAAGTGACCAGAGCCCGGTCAGCGCTGACCCCCGTCCCGGTGCTGGGCTACCTTCTTCTTGGTGCAGCCGGACTGGACCAGGATGGCAAAGTCTCCGATCTCGTGCGGGACCTCGTGCAGCAGGATGGTGACTGTGGTGACGGCGCCCACTGCTGGGCTGACCAGGAACGAGGCGCCGATGGCCAGACCGTCGGTGAAGTTGTGCGTGAAGTCGGCCGCCAGGTTCAGGTAGCCCGACACCTTTATGTCTGCCAAGCCGTGGAGAGAAGGGAAGGGAATCCAGTTAAGACAAAAAGGAAATGCATCCTTTGTAACTGCTGGATGGCTGGATTTGTTAATGATGCTCATGAAAGTGAAGCTAAAGTCAAACTTTTAGGCCACAACAGACTAAAGACGTCCCAAACTGTCAGTAACTCCGACGGCTGGACTTTGGTGAGTCAACAGGATTCAGCTCATCCACGGTGAGGCCATAGGACGACGGCTCTAATTTGAATTAAAATTACTTTTAATTGAAGTTAGAACATTATACTTAGATAATTGGACTATACACTGTAGTCAGTGTAAAGCAACTTGAGATTGAAGCCATGGGTTGGATTTGAAACAAAGAGCTGGCAAAAACTCTGCTCTATTTTTAGGTTTAAATATAAAACATAGGGCATGATGTATTAATTATCTCTTGATGAACCTCAGCTGGAATAGGCACCACAACCCCGTGGTAAAAAAAGGAAAAATAATGTTAAGGATAGAGCCCAGATGTGCAGGAGCAAAAGCAAGATCAGCTATAAACTCTGAAGTAGATGGACAGAGATTTCATTCTTCTGCGCAAAAAAATCTTTCATGAAAGCCTTTGAAAGCTCTGCGAGAGAAATTTAAATCATAAATAATTTCCCCTTGAGCATTTATATTTAAAGTTTTGTAGTCCCCTCAGTGGCCACAGGAGGGAGCTCCTCAGTTAGAAATCAGACTTGTTCACCTGTGCTCGTTTTCTCTGCTTTCTTCTGAACCTTCACATCTTTGCCTTGACCCCCGTCTTTCTTCTTCTTCTCTTTCTCCTCTTCTCCATCACTGTCCTTTTCCTTCGAAGCCGCTGAAAAAGTTTCACACAGGAAGTTACAGCTGGAAACATCTGCAGCAGAAAATCATGAGAAAATGGCAGCTCACCGTGCGAGTGGCCATGGGAGTGTCCTCCCTTCAGCAGACGCACAAATTTTTCCACAACCAGGAAGGCGATGATCCCACCGAGGACCCACAGACCCACTGACATCATGTGACCATGGGCCGCTCCTGTGGAGGGAACAGTGGAGAGCTCAATATCTCCAAAAAACCACCTTTCACAAAAATCCAACAATCATACCACACGCAATGTTCCTTCAAAACAAAAAAAACTATAAATGGTTCCCACTTTCTATGGTGACCGTTTCAATGCAAAAAACAAAACATAAAACTGATTTTTAGCCTTCCTGCGTGGCAGCGCGTTTCCATAATGAAGCAGCCGCACAAACAGAGCCAGTGCAGACGAGTCCAGCTGGAGTCGTCCGGTGTTAACAGGCAGTCTGAACCTCAAAATCTGCTGCTGGAGGACGTGAGCTCAGAAACAGCCCAGTCACTGGCGTAACCAGCTTTGCCGGCGTACCGTGGGAGTGGCCGTGGTCGGTCGAGTCTTCGTTTGAATGAGAGTGTCCGTGATCTCCCTCCTCATGGTGGGAGTGGGGCTCTGTGTGGATCAAACCCAACAGGAACATATTTAACTAAAAAACTGAGGCCTGACATCTTTTCCTAAGGTTTTCACGACATTCACAAAAGCTTAGAAACATATAAAGTCCTTCTTTTACCTGTAAAAGAATTAAATTCTATGCAAACAGTGATGAATCTGAAGCATTTACCCATAAAGGGGTTCATTCTGCTGTAAGCTATGACCTGATGAGCAAAGCACATTTCTGCTACTTCCCACAACAACAAAGAAAACCTACCGAGGGCGTGTGGTATGAGGTGGAGGAAGGCATCGCCCAGCAGCCCACCAGAGGCAAAACTGAGCAGCACCTTCAGCAGGTTCTGGTGCTGGTCGCTGTTGGACTGGACTGGGATCAGAAACAGGATGAGGAACGGAGCAGCGCTGATCAGCAAAGTGGCTCCGACAGCCTGCAGACGATGACAGAAAGAAGTTTACAAATGGGTGGATTTCCTGCAGGGAGAAGTTGCAGGAAACGTCAAACGAAGGGAACCCCGGCTGAAAGCCAGGGAGGAAAAACCCACGGTCAGGAAAGAAAGACGGAAAGGACACAAATGAGTGGGAAAGTTTCAGCTCAGAGGAGCTAAAATGTAACCTCATAAAACACAACTGAAAACAGACATCGGCAATTCTGCAGCTAAAGTCAATTAGTTTGGAGGTCAGAATTGTAGTTTCAGAATTATAGTGACCCAAGCAGCAGCTTTTATCTTCATCAGAACATCGAAGCCTGAGAAAAGTCATAGGACAGAAATCTGTAGTAAAAAAAGTGCCCATTTTAACACGACTTTTAAAGTGCCAAGATAAAAGCTGTCGCATAGTAAGTATAAGAGAAGCTTCCTCATTTAAAAAACAAATACAGCTTCTGCACAGGCTTACAAATTACTGTAATGTTTCACTGCTTTGCAAACTCAATAATAATCACCATCTGCCCTATAAATTTAGAGCTGAAGGGTTTTGGTGGCCA